TTCCGGCTATGGTGAGAGACTAATCGCGGACTGTGCCGTTTTTGCAGGCCACTGTCTCGGTTTGTGAAGAGGCTGGTGCCCGATGCTGAACTGGTCAGCAAGCTGCGCCTCTTCCAAGCTCGCTACGAGTCCACCACCAAGGCTGACGCCGAGGAGCGCCGTAAGCTGCGGGTACTGCCTCGCGCGATGTTCGGGATGCGAGGGATGCCGCGCAAAGTCCTTCTAACTCGTCTTCCCCTCCATTGTAGGAACACTTCAACAAGGAGAAGTCGGTGGCCGAGCGCATCTACGACACCAAGATCAGAGCCGCGCAGCGGGACTACCGCGAGGTACGCGTCGCATTGGTCTCCCGATTCATCTTCACCCACACTGGTGCCTAACCGCTCCCGTGTACCCGCAGGTTGAGGCCAAGTATGCGGCAAAGCTGAAGCCCGCGAAAGAGGCGAAGAAGGACGGGCCGACTATGATGGAGATAGACGGTGATAAGCCTACCACCACTACTACTACCACCAGCAGCAGCATGAAGGAAGAAGAAGAGAAGAAGCTGTCGCCCGAGGAGGTGGCCGAGAGAAAGAAGGCCAAGCGAAAGATGGAGAGAGCGCAGATGCGCAAGACCAGCGCCGTGGAGGCGGCCACGCTGGAGCGTGGCATGCTGGTGGCCATGCTCGAACGCGATCGGGACGACCGGCTGCGAGCGGTCGCCGATCGGTTGCGCGAGGAGAAGGCCCGCCTCAACCGCGAATGGCAGGAGCAACGCGAGCGTCACCTCCACCAGGCCTCCCACCCCACTCTCCATTTTCCCGTCTTCCCACCCGTGCATGTCACCCCTATCGCCGTCCCCGTCATGGCTGTGCCTCCGAGTGCGCCGCCGCTCGAAGAGGAGCAGACCTACTTCTACTAGCTTACACCACCAACAATGACAATATCAAGATATCTTCTGTACAGAACAGTTTCGTCCTGCTGGCAGCTCGTAGGCGTATGTCGTGAGCGCCACCAACACTGTGGCTTATTTTTAATAAACAACATCTTCAAACAGCGGGGCAAGTTGTCGATGTATGGGAAGGAGGAGGTGGGCTCTTCAAGCAGATCTGAAACAAGAGAATTGATTATCTGAATCTGTCCTGATTTCAGTCGAGGAGACTGTAGCGCGGGGGGGGGTGGTGGTGGAAAAGAAGTACTTCCAGTTCCCGGCTGTGCGCCAACTAGTGCGGCCGGCGCCAGACCCTGGGATTCGAATTCTGCAACAAGCGCTGCATGATTTGTCCTTAGTACAACAAACAGGGCCACTACTTAGTGCTTCTCCTCATCTTCGGTCTTGCCCTCCTTCTCGGCCTGGCCTGGGTAACCGGCCCGCGGGCGTCTTCGCATCATCATGGTGAGGTTGGCCGTGTCCCAGCTGGATTTGGCCGCGTGTTCGCCCTCCTCAACCTTAGTGGGCGGCACCGGTCGGTACTCGCCCACCTCCGATATCTTCTCCTGGTCCTCCTTCTGTCGGCGCATGATGTCAGCCGATCGATCATTACTCTTCTTCTCCAGCTCCTCCACTCGCTGGTTTCCCTTCTTGCTCGCCTCCGTCTCGGCCCGCGCGACACCCGACTGGTCCAATCTGGCCTCGTCGTCGACGTCATTTCCCAGCCATCGGTTGAGCACGCGGCACAGTTTGTTCTTGTCGAAGGGCTTGGGCATCCAGTCGTCCATGCCGGCATCGATGCACTTCTGCTTGTACTCGGCCGTCGCCGACGCAGTGATGGCCACCACGGGCGTGTGCAGCCACTCGCTCGCCCGCGCCGACTGCACGTTCTCCCTCTCGCGAAGCACTCGCGTCGCTCGGAACCCGTCCATCACCGGCATCTGCGTGGGGCACAAACACCAAGATGAGGCTCGCGTCCACAGCTGATGC